GGGGGGGGGGGGGGGGGGTCTGCAGAGAAACGAACATATGACGTTTCTCATGGACAAAATCAATATGCGAGGCTTCCCTTAGCGCTAATCCAGCTTTGAACAACTGAGAATAAGCCCCTGGGCTCCTTGTGAATAGCATTTGTACAGCCGGCCAAACATAGCCGGACAGCAACCGGACATCTTGTCGTTCACAAAGTTTTTCGCCTGCAACAAATTTCTAACCCGCCAATCTCAAGGCAATGCCTGCGATGGCGGGTACGGTACGGTCTCATAATTTTATGCCATATCGCCAAACAGATCTTCGACGTCATCAGGGAATGTCGACAAAGCTTTCTTCCTTCGTGAACGTCTTGTGCTGCTACTGGATTGTTTACTATATAGAACAAAATAGGAAAAGCGAAAATGATGTTCAAAAACGTTCTTCCTTAGAGATTCAGTAAGGATCATCTCTTATTGAGCCAGTGTTACTACAGGAGGAAATCTAAACTAAACTAACTTTATTTATACTGGATAGTTTTATCAGTTCTAAATTGTTCTCCCTAGAAGTCCTGTAAGGATAATCTCTCAGTATTGATCCAGTGTTACTACAGGAGGAAAGCTAAACTGAACTAACTTTATTTATACTGGATAACTCTATAAGTTCTAAACTGTTCTTAAAGGAACATCCCTTATTGATCCAGTATATAATACTACAGGAGGAAACCTAAACTAAACTAACTTTATTCTCTTATCGACCAATTTATGTAAACATAACCAATACTATACCCTTCATCGGAATTGGTGCTTGTGCTGCTAGCATTACTGGTTGTTCTTTTCACCGTCGTTTTTACTTCGGGTAAAACAGGTTTTGATGGAGTTCGAACCGGTTGTCGAGATGGTTGCTTTCTTCTTCTATAAACAGAAACAGTAGAAAATACACTGTAAGAGAAGCTTATTTCAGTGCATGGTGTAGTTCAATTTATTTCACTTCCAAATTCTTATATAATAGAATTGAAAAAAATAGAAACCGTTTAATAACAGGAGCTGTATCTTCTTCATCTTGAAATAAACCAGCTCCGATATTTGACGATGTTGTTGCTTTTTCTTCAGTTTGATTCTTGTTCTGTAGATTAGATTAATATGTACTATTCAAAACACGAGCAAGAGTGCTTTATCAGATATAAACAAGTACTACAAGTACAAGTGCTTGAAATGACTTATAAAACGACCTATCTTATGAGTTCATTGGCGAAGTAATTTTAATTTTTTCTAAGTAGTTTATGTAAATGAACATGATTTTTATCACATATAAAACCACCAACACGGCAGTGATTTCCATAGTCTTTTCCACATGAATTATTATAATTTTTTAATGATTATTTACAAAATAAGCATTGGTGAATATAGCATATCTTACTTAGCTTACACATCAGTCCTAATCGGTTCTGTGGTATTTGGAGTCAGACTGAAAGCATAGTCTTCTCATACCGATGAATATGCGACTCATATACGTATTTTTACCAACCTGTGACACGTCCATCTCTACGTCTGTGTCATCATCATCTCTTTCAGTAAAAGCAAATCAAAATAAAAGAAAATGGTAAATAAAAAATTTAACGCCAACTCATTTTCGCAACAGCACCCAGAGTGTGCCGTATTTTCTATTGAATGAAGACTTTTTAAAGACCTTAATTAAGAAATACATTCAAATTTGAAAACTTTCAAGAATTTCAAAACCCACTACGTCTATGGTCTTCCTTTATTTATTTCCTTTTTTCTTCGATGGTTTGAAAGAGTGAAACTATATATAAACCTGCAGAATTGACTAATATATATAACTATCATTCATTTAATATACGTATTTAATACCTCGTCTGATCATTTGTGGGATGATCTTCAGTTATACTACGGGCTATAAAATAAATGTTTTAAACATGTGGTCAAAGATGAACTTTTTTACATTTTATTAACGTACAGTAAACATGATTTAAACAGACCCGTGTTTGAAGCTGCATTAATAGGTTTCTTCGATTGCTGTTCAATAGCTAAAAATACAATGAAGAAATTAACAATATATCATTGAATGTCTTTCAGAAGTACAATGTTACATGCAAGTGTGAAGGTTTTAAAAAAATGAAACACTCACTTTCTTGTAGTCTACGTATCTTGGCTTTTTTCTCGTTCAAAACTGTTACAAACTAAATTAAAATAAAAACCGCAACTATTACAAATAAGTCGTTACGCTTATCAAAAAACAATTTAATGCAGAATTAGCAATGTAACCTTTTGAAATAAATCTACTTCCATTTCTTCTTTCCCAACAATACATTTGTCTAAACGCTAAAATTAAATGGAGAAGGGTACATATCACGTATTATTATAGCACTGATGAAGATCCGGGCTTACGGATCGAAAGCTTTGCAGTAATAAATTTACGTGGTGTCTCCACAAACAAAAGTATTATATGTTTTATCACCATGCAAACCTACAAAGAACTTATCAAATGGAGAAGATCATTGACAGCTAGAGTTCAATGGATGGACAATGAATGAACACAAAACTTGTGTTTGTTTAGATAACTAGCTGTCACAATAAGAAAATTGTGATCATAATGACCTTACCAAAATAGCATTATCTCTATCTCTTGCCAATTGCTCTGTTTCATATTTCATTGTTGCCATTGTATCCTGTAGTGATACATTATGTATAAAATTCACACTCGATTTCTGCCTATAACAAACCCTTCAACAATTTGAAATCTGATTATAATTTCTCCTCATGCAGTTGCTAATTGAGGAGAGTGCTCTCAGTTTCAATTGACTCCACTATGAACGTTTTCTCTGAGTACTCTGATTTCTTCCTGAGGTAACATGGGACTACTAGAGAATATGGCTTTATCACTAGACCTCTAGGTAGAACCGTTTATAACTAATAGATCTATCCAGTATTAATAAAGTTAATTTAGTTTAGGTTTTTTCCTATAGTAATACTGGATCTATAAGGGATGGAATATTCTTACTGGACCTCTAGGAAGAACCGTTTATAACTAATAGATCTATCCAGTATAAATAAAGTTGCTTTAGTTTAGGTTTCCTCCTGTAGTAACACTGGATCAACAAGAGATGATCCTTACTGGACCTCTAGGTAGAACCGTTTATAACTAATAGATCTATCCAGTATTAATAAAGTTAATTTAGTTTAGGTTTTTTCCTATAGTAATACTGGATCTATAAGGGATGGAATATTCTTACTGGACCTCTAGGAAGAACCGTTTATAACTAATAGATCTATCCAGTATAAATAAAGTTGCTTTAGTTTAGGTTTCCTCCTGTAGTAACACTGGATCAACAAGAGATGATCCTTACTGGACCTCTAGGTAGAACCGTTTATAACTAATAGATCTATCCAGTATTAATAAAGTTAATTTAGTTTAGGTTTTTTCCTATAGTAATACTGGATCTATAAGGGATGGAATATTCTTACTGGACCTCTAGGAAGAACCGTTTATAACTAATAGATCTATCCAGTATAAATAAAGTTGCTTTAGTTTAGGTTTCCTCCTGTAGTAACACTGGATCAACAAGAGATGATCCTTACTGGACCTCTAGGTAGAACCGTTTATAACTAATAGATCTATCCAGTATTAATAAAGTTAATTTAGTTTAGGTTTTTTCCTATAGTAATACTGGATCTATAAGGGATGGAATATTCTTACTGTACCTCTAGGAAGAACGGTTTAGAACTGATAGATCTTTCCAGCATAAATAAAGTTGCTTTAGTTTAGGTTTCCTCCTGTAGTAACACTGGAAGAAGAATTACAGTTCAGAACTGATAGATCTTTCCAGTATAAATAAAGTTACTTTAGTTTAAGTTTCCTCCTGTAGTAACACTGGATCAATATAAGACATGATTCTTACTGGACCTCTAGGGAGAGCGGTTTAGAACTGATAGAGCTATCCAGTATTAACAAAGTCTACGTTTTGTTTATTACCACAGCCAAGGTGACATTCATGTTGGCAACAGCGTCGTGTGCCACCTATCTATATGGTATCTGTAAGTACCTTGTAATCATGGACTTTCCTAATGGAAAAATCTAAAATCTTTTTCATCAAGATTTTATTCCCTTCACTCAAACTTAAAGATATAGATCCCAGTTGAAACTATATGGTAAGAAAATAGATTACTTTACATTCTCTGATATAAAATGACATTTTAATTGAAGTTAATAGCAGAGGTTTTAAAGTATATTGGCAATCCTCATTACCTTCACACCATCATCCAATTGTTTCTTCCAATTAAACTACATGGGGGGTCAAATTAAGCCTGATTTAAAATAAGTAACATAAAATGGGAAAAGCAGTGTTTGTAAAATGGGAGAAGCAGTGTTTTACTGACAATATATTACATTTTACTGCATATTATCTGGCACTAATGCTGCTTGGATTCCTTTTCTCAGTGAAGTAATCTTGTATCAAAAAATTTTAAGAGCCATTGTTGCTTTGGGGGGCCCCTTTTCAGCTGGGGCCCCCTTTTGAGCTGGGGCCCAGGAAAAGTACCAAGGCTGGCGAGAGGGCAGAGGGGGGAAAATACCCGGGGCCCAGAGGGGCCCGGAAATCATCACAATCGATCGTAAAACGTACCAAATGTGAAAAATAATTTTTCGATCGTTATCTCAGCAAAAACAGTTAGCTGAACATCGTTCACATTGCGTTTTTATCAGTTATGTGGCAATTCCTTGCAAGTAATTCGCTGGTAATTCTCTGATTGATTGTGATTAAAAATAGACTTTGGCGTGGCCATGTGCCAGCGGGAGAGTCGAGAGGGACAGGGGCCCATGTTTGCCAATTCGTCATTTTATCCCGGGGCCTGTGGTTGGCTCTCGCCGGCCTTGAAAAGTACCCCCTGTTGGCGGCCCTGCTATGGACATTAAACCTCTAGTGTAGATCCATTCTGAGTTGCTTGATAAATGAAGGTATCTGTTCCAGTGGTTTTGGCTGTTAGAGCATTAAGAGTTTGTGTCGTGTATTCCTCGATATTCATTTCAACATTTTTGGCCATGTTCTGTAACATATCGTCTGTCACTGAAACAAATAACATTGTCTTCCAGTTTGCAACATAGTAAAAGACAAGTTACTGAGGGCTAACATAGCTGTTGTGAATAAAGACTGCAAGAGATTATACAGAATTTGTGACTGTGTGCGATGCAAATTAAGCTAGCTGGTAACAATCAGGAAATCTTCAGCAAGCCTTACCCCACTGAGATAATCTAGTCATAGTGATTTATCCTGTTAAATCCTGATAAGCTGCATTTTAAGTGCACCTGAGTCTTGAGCAATAATGGGTTACCTGAACTATCTGCTAAGTTTACTCTGTCTAACACCAGACTGTAAAGTATTATTTTTGCGCAGGGAACTTTTCGTCGTAAATGGCAGTTGCGCGGAAATGAAGGCAGAACATTTGAGAAAATTGGTCTGAAATGGCATTTTCAGAGTTTTCTCTCGCAAGGCCCAACACATAAGATACAAAATGAATCATTAGTTCATCAAAAATATGCAGATTTTGTAGGATTTTCTTGAAAATGTGCAAACAGAAATTCAGCTAAAATTTCTGC